AAGCGCAGTCGTGGCCGTCCCCCGAAAACGGGGGAATACGTCAATTTGGCGAGGGTCAAGGCTGAGCTCAACGCGGCCAAGAAGCGGGAGCTCGAGCTCCGCGCTGAGGAAGAGCTTGCGGAGGAGCTGCGACAACAGCGGCCGTGGCGTGTCTCCCTCACGGCCTCTCCCTCTCTCTCCTCCAATGCCAGACGGGCAGGAGGAGATAGTGGCGTGCCCACCCGGGCCATCGGGGGAGAACAAAAAGAAGAGGAAGAAGACGGGGAAGAAGTCTGCTGCGGCAAAGGAGGCGGAGGCTGCCCGACAGTCGCCTCATACCATGGCCGTGTGTGAGGAGTGGGACGAACAAAGGACGGCCCTCACGAGCACCGTTGGTGCGGACCTGTCGCTGTCGGCCGTAATTCCAGCTATGGCCGGCAGCGAACAGTGTTGGGCTGCCGTCGCCTCGTTTGCTAGCGAGGTGATGGCGGCCAAGAGAGAGGCTCTGCGGGGGCGGGAGCGAGCTGGTCTCACACTCCCGCCCCGCAGACCCCCGGCGAGGGGACGCCGGCGAACTCAATTCGCCCGCGTCCCCGAATGAGAGCGGCCATGGGTGGTGGGTCGGGGGACCTGCCGTGAGGGCCCGGCGCTGCGTCGCCCATGCGGGGCAAGCCGCCAGCTTGTGCTGGGCCGAATCCTCACTGCAGTCGCAGTAGTGGCAGGCGGGACTCGATTTCCTCCTAGCGACCGAGTACAGGTACTTTCCGAAGCAACCGTGCCCGGAAAGCACCTGCGTCAGCCGGAAGGAAAGGGTCCCGTGCTGCCGCCCTGCCCACTCGGCGATGACGGAACGACCATCTCACCATGATGGCTCGGCGAGCGGCTTCGCGCCACTCGCGCACGTCTTCGGGCGGAGGGCGAAATCCGCTCTCCCGCCGGATGTCAGCCACTCGCCGATATACTTCGGCGAGCACTTCCGCCTCCAAATCCCACGGGGGTGTTCGGTCGATAGTGGTGGGCGGCATCCCCATCGCTGTCGGGAACAGCCTGAAATATCTCGGGCTCGTTCTCGACAGTCGGTGGCGGTTCACAGAGCATTTCCGGCAACTGGCACCGAAACTGCTGGCATTTGCCGGAATGCTCTCGCGTCTGCTGCCCAACAGCGGAGGCCCGGGGTCTGCCTGCCGCCATCTCTATGACGGAGTGGTGCGCTCCAAGGCGCTCCACGGAGCGCCCATATGGGCGGAGGCCCTCAGCCCGGCGAATATCGCGCTGCTGCGGCGATGATCTCTTCCGGAAATGGGCCGTAAGGTTAGAGGCGACCCGTAGCGGCTCGCTGCTCGTGGGGGCCGTTCGACCCGTCCTGCGTCAGTGGGTGGAGAGGGGTCATGGGGATCCGACATACCATCTCACCCAACTCCTCACGGGTCATGGTTGTTTTAGGTAGGATACGGTTAAGATTTTATTAATTAATTGTTGATAAAAGAATTAGGAATAAGCAAAAGGCGCAAAAGAATAAGGAAAATAACTTAGTATAGTCTTATCTTTAATAAGACTATAATAAGTTATTTTCCGAATGTGCCATCATGCCGGAAACCATCCAATACCCAGGAAATTGTCAGATTATACATAATTATGTATTGTTTATGTCTTGAATATATTTTGTTTTTTAGTTAGTACACCGTTGTAGTTGTAATTTAAAAACTAGTATTTAATTACTAAGTTTATTATAAATTTAGCGGAACGCCTACAAACTGCTAGAACAGGTTAGCGAATAGAGGCATTGTAAAAAATAATAATTAAGGTCTGGAAATTTTGAAATTTCCTTTTTTCCGAATCAAAAATGGTTGTCTTTACGTTACGAGTAAAATGTTTGATTTAGCTGCTTGAGTTAAAGCTAAACGTACGAGTTAACAAGTCTAAACGTATCAAGTATGAATTAATTAATATAATAAACGTAATTTGTAACCTTTCCCTTCAGCAGGAAGCTCGGTGCGCTCCGTGTCGGTGAGATGTAACGAGCCGAGGACACGACTCCCAGTAATTGGGCGATGTTGTCACTACGAATACAAACAGGAGCCGACGCGACGAGCAATGATAACACATTTCATTAAACAGTAGCTACACTTATCTAATCACTGCCTTCGAACAATTCACCAAGCGGCAACCGTTACACGTTGGTTGACCTTTAATGTTCGGATCGCTATTGTTGAGTGGGTGGGGGGTGGCAGTGTGGTGATCTAAAAAGGAACTAATACATAAAATAAAATATAGTTTGAACGATGCGTTTTTTATTCTAATTTGGGGTACCTAAACACATCATAAATAGAGTCTGATACTAAAACACTGTATAAACGAAACTAATAAGCCACCAAAAGGTAACGTAATGACGCCGGGCGACATTTTGTAAAAACCTTTTGGAAAACTTTATAACAATTTCTTAAAGCGTGTTCTCATTAAATTTCATATAAAAACATGTCAAGCATGTGTTGTTTTCACAAGATTGACACTATATTAAATAGTAAAAGTTTCATTGAATATAATTATTATTCGTTACGGAAAATCGCATCAAAGAATATTTTAGTCATTTTTTTTCGGGAACAAATATTAATGTTGTTTTTAGCATACCTACTAGTGGGAATTGTAACGAGATCTCACATAAACCTGATAATTTAAATCATTAAAGAAGATGGTTTTCTTACATTACCAGGTATCTATATAATGGAGACTGGACCTATTCACAAAATGCAATTCCAATTATTTCAATTTAACATGAGACTCAAAACCAAATATTCGCAATAAATATAAGTCCATTATTAACTTACCTAACAATAATATCATTTACTATAAAAGCATCATCGTTTAAAAAAGTGGTTAACAAATAACGCGATTTATAGTCTGAGAGAATTCTTTGATTCTAAAATTGATTGTTGATTTTTTTTTCTTTTTATTAGTTGATATAATGTTAATATATTTAGGCTATTGGCTATTTACTTTTCTGAGTAAAACCACAAAAAAAAACATGGCATTAGTAAGTTTTTATTTGTGTTTGTATGTTGACTGTTATTTATTTACCGTTCTTTTAATAACATGTACAGCCTTTAATTAAGGCTACATTTTAAATGTAAAAATATGGTAACGTTAACATGTGCTTCAGTGTACTCTTGCGTGGTTATCCTTAAATAAATAAACAAGTATTGTAGGCGCATTATTCAATTTTGTAATTTAATTTATATTCAAATGAATTTGACAAACCCGAACTGGTTAACTGTTGATCCTGATACTAATATCTTACAACACCTTTATGTATACAGTTTTATGTAATAAATATATGTCTATAATTATCGGTCTTTAGTTTAAATTGACAGAGAGCTCGCATATTGAGAGAGGGCTCAATAGATATTGTTGCAGCATTAATAAGAGAGAAATATTCTGGTCAGCATTACAGGGGAGTTAGTCAAACGTAGCTGACGCCGCGTAGGGACGGCTTTTATCAGCCTCAGTCGCGTACTCAGGGCGCGCGCTGAACGCCAGCGCCAGAGCCATATATTGTGTTTGTGATACTGGATAGCATCGTTGGTGCTACATGAGTGGCACTTCAAACTGCAGCACTAATAAAGAAATTTTCACGAGTTTCATATGAGAGTCTCTGATTAACTTGGAAATTTGAACACGTCTCAATGTATCAAGGATCAATGACATCGCAAGAATAAATGATTACAAAATAAATTACCATCAAAATGAACTGAAATACACACTACTGCAACAAAAGAATCCGTTTTTCATGTTGTGCTTAGGCTGGAGGCTCGGACTTGTGTAAAACAAAAACTAAGCGTCTTGTAATTAGAGGATCCCGGGATCCCGGTCATATTTTAGTCCCGAAATTTTCGGGATCAAATTTAATGAATCCCGGGATTTTCGGGATTGATACATTTTTTACATAAGTCAATAAAAATGTGCGTAAAAAGAAACGCCCTTGCCTTGATTTGATGTTTTGACAGCCATCTTGTCTACACAGCTGATTTCATTTGTTTTTGCTAATAACCGGTTCTGAATTATGCGTAAAAGTGTATAATTTATAAAGTTTCTGGGCAATTTAATTAAAAAATATGAGTAGGTATCTATAAACATTGGTCTCTTAAGCATATAGTTTTTCTTTATAGTTTATCTAAATAAGTCTAAAGAAGTTGATTTTTTGAAGTTTATTGTTAGTTTCATTAATTATTTACCGAAACACAAAACAAACTAGGCACTAGTTTGTTTATTTTATAAGATGAAAGTATAATTTTGTTTAACCGCCTTTTGGAGATTTAAAACTTAAATATTCTATGTCCTCACAAAACTAAATGATAAATAAAAAAAATATTTTGATATGTTTTACTGTCTTTTCGTTACCACTTTCCATTGCCAAAACGATCCCGGGACTATCCCGGGATCCCGAGATTAACTGTAGATAATCCCGAAATCCCGGGATTATAAAATTCGACCGGGATCGAATCCTCTACTTGTAATGCACGTATATACATTTATACATGCCTGAAAAATATCAATGGCCGTAATAATTATCGTCTTTATTATAAAGTAAGAAGGGCAGTTCTATTGTAGTATATCCCGTTACCTGTATATCCATTGACGAGCAAAGAGCGAAGGCAGAGTGTGTAAGTTCTGAATTAGTAATTAGTTACAACGTACGCCCTAGTGAAAGTCTCTACATGATGTCTTCTATAGACACGGAATACTGGATCAATCGCCTTTCTTTTATTTCAGAGCATAGCTGGTGTGACTTATGAAGATTACTTATGTATGCATGTGTCATTGATTTTACAGGTCATTTATAAACATGTTCGGTACAGTGTGGTGTTGTGCGTTATGTGCAATACCTGCGTCCCTACTGTCTAAGTAACGACCCACTATGTAAGTTCTCACGTACGACACATAAGTTGGGCGACATGTGTGTGGTTGTGCGGCGCCGTGTGTCGCGCAGACGGCACGGCCTGTAGGCGGCGCTGGTACATAAGTAGCGGACGCGGACCGCGTGCCGCACTCACCGACACGCGCCCGCGACCGACACTACACACAGGTAAACTTTTATTTATTTATTAATAAGTTGTAATGATTCATTCATTCATGTAATGATCATTAAATAAAAATTAGGATCTTATTTCTTTTTTGTTTTTAAATTAATAGTCATTTAGATATCCCACCTGACTGTAAATGTCCACCTATGTAACATTTATATTATAACCCTAGTGTAGCAAATAAGTATACGATGAACCTTATGGTCCATAAGTACAACACTACGCCTTCCACAATTTCCACATATTGACATAACTAATGACTTGCGAGTGAATAAGGTGTAGTATATGTTATAAGACATAGGACCTTATAAAGGTATATTAGAGTTTAATAGCACTTATTGGTTCTGTTTTATTTGTAAGGTCTTTATAGCTGCAAATTGCAAACTAGAGATATCCCTACGATAAAGTGACGCCAGTAACGCTACGCCGTAGAGGCCTCGTTTGAAGCGCGTTGATGTCTTTTATTGGTCGCCAACAATCACAAGTTTTCTTACATTGTTATTTGCAACGAAATTAGTTCATAGACTCTGGTGTGCGGATGGAGCTCTTCATCGGTTGGTAATTAGAGCGTGGTTAGACTCCACTTAATGTACACAAAAGTGTCTTCTTATCTTTTACATCCGACGACATGTCGTCTAACTTCCAATTATGATTTAAATTGAAGGCAATGTTTAACTCTGTGCTTGTTTGTTCGACGCTGACTTAAAATTATTTACACACTTACATTTGTGTAGTCGGGTGTAGTTTGGCTAACCATTTATCTTTTCAATGTTTAGTTCTTATTTTTCTTTTGACCGATTTATTATTGTTGGTATCTACTTCTTTCTGAAAAACAAGTTAATTCCATCCATGGATGATAATGATGCCATAGGTTTTGATTTATGGGCGAAATATGAAAATGCATGCTTATCTTTTGATTGCATACTCTTAAAAGATTGTTTTTTTTATATATTCAATGGATTTTCAACGGACTTGCTACTTTGTGGAGGTTCTGGAGAAAAGGGACGTTCTTATTAACAGACAGACGGATAACGAAGTGATGCTATACGGTTACGGCTTCATTCTTTTTCGTTTGAAGAACGTATTCGTAAAAAATGTATCTAAGTGTATTTCTTTGTGTGGTAGAAGTAATGGTACGAGCTTTGTTAGGTTCTATGTTATACGCGAGTAGACAGGTTGTCAATACGATGGATTTTGTTTGTTTGTATGTGACGCTGTATCGGACCCATTTGTGAACTGATTTTTACACGTTTTATATTAGCTTCACTTGTATGTTTGTATGTTTGTTTGTAACCGACTCTTTTGGGCGTGATTTTGACTGACTTTAAACGATCAGAATCAGTTCAAACTTTGTAGATATATCGAGCACCGATGACAATACACTTATTAAATAAATAATAGTTTTAAATAATAGTTAAAAAAGGATGGGGTGCTTTTTACTATTGACAACAGGCATCCAACGCTTTTTTTTCAAATTTATTAAAGTTTATTTTCTATTTTTTAGTTTGGTTTTCTATAAAAAGCGTGTTTTTTAGTTTTTTTAAACTATTTTTTTTTTTATTTAAATATGTAGATTTATTGCACTCAAGGTTGGTCCCGTTCAAATTTAAAAAATATACATATGTTATACCTCTAGAGGAGGAGAATACAAGAGGTAAAGAATAGAGTTTTTTACAATTTATCAAGAATTTTTTTAGAATATGTGAGTTGAGGCTGGCTTACATACATTAATAGTATCACAGAACTAGGGCCATTTGACTTTGTGTGATGACGACAGTTGCCTATTTTATATACGTGACATTATTTCATGAACCCAAAATGATTTAAAAATTCTTTTTGAATGGTTTCAATATAATCTGTTAAGCGTTGACATTTCTAAAACTTGTTCTATTATTTTCAAGACTAAAAATAATAAAAAATAACCGTCACATGACCCATTAGTGATCGTCAACATACGATTAGAACAAAATCTTGTGAGAAGTACCTTGGTCAAAGAATGGATAACTATCTAACATGGAACCAACTAAGAGACTTCATTAAATATAAAATGTCTTTAATGATCGGTTCACTTCAAAATAGTGTGATTGTGTACCTTGAAACCTCCGTTCTAACTATTTACGTTGTCTTATTACGTACATTCTCTTGTCAAATCACATTTACTATATCCTATAGAAATCTGGAGTAGCGCCGGTAAAACAAAATTGCAAGAATTACCGGGAAAACAAAATCTTATATACAAAATTCTAGTGTCACTATGTTAGTTACCGTACTCCTCCGAAACGGCTGGACAGATTTTTATAAAATTGTGTGCACATTGGGTAGGTCTGAGAATCGGCCACCATCTAATTTTTTATTTTCAATATTTCCTAAAAATAATGTATATGGCAAAACAACGTTTGCGGATCAGCTAGTAGAATCATAAAAATACTGTTCGGCTATCTACACTATATACCAAAACGCAAAGTATTTTAAAATCTGATCTGTCAATTCATACATTATAAAATTACTCTCAATAATTAAACTAATTAAAATTGTACCCATTCAATTATCAAAGTGTTGTTATTACTTAATGAGCTAAAGACGCTAAGTATTATATACATATACATATAATACAAGGGCAGAACTATAATGTTAATATATATGGAAATATAAGAGATGTTTCGGTGTCAAGTTCAGTTGCCGCGTCACAAGGTATCAATAACAATAACAGGGACGAGCTAATATCATCGTCTCTCGTAAAATGTTTTATAAGTCGCGGTGATTGTGGTTTCGTTGAGGGATGTTAATAAAATGAATGTTTTAATTTGTGTCGTGGCAGCGCCCGGGGCTGCTCGCGGTGCGAAGCTATCAAATTTCACTCAACTTTTATATTTATATGTATTTGAGTGAGCGACCAGCGCCTACGGCCGACCGGGGCGAGAGTGGGTGCGGGGCGGGGGCGTATTACTGAACACAAAAGTTATTAAGTTAATAAAGCAAAACGTACCTACACGTCAACGTCCTTGCAAATCTGTCAATACAAAGATCTGCACGGATGACGCAGTGATTACGGCTTACTACTACGCTGAGTGTTGTGTGTCCGATCCCCACATGGGACGACACTTTGTGTGATCCACAAACTGTCGTTCTGAGTCTGGGTGTTCTTTGTGCCCGTTTCATGTAATTAAAGTCCCCCGCGACACAGGATATATTCATAATGCGAGTTGTCTTTAAAAAAGTCTATTAAATCACTTCCTACGCATTTTCATTTCATTTCATTTTCATTTTATTTAAATTTCTAACGAATAAACTAGACGTAAATATTCTTTAGTTCTTTTAATCGGCAAAAGATTTCATGGACCTATAAATAAGTGTGTGCCGGACGGGGGTCGGGGCCGGAGGCGGGCGCCGGACGAGCGCCGGGAAAACAAACGCTTCCGGCAAAAAAACACCGCCGCGGGATATTGTCGGTTCCGGCGACACGAACGAGGCGAGGGGCCGATATTAGCTCGATCCTTGGCCGACGTTCACGGGTCCGCGTACACACAGTGCGCTGCACATGGTGAGCATATCCACACGTGGATCCGGCTACCTTTACCTTGGCGCCCTGGCACTGAACCCATCTTTGTAGACGACACAGACAACATTTGTAAGCTGCCTTCCTAGCAACAATACTGCAAGGTGCCCCATGCCACACTTACTCAGCTCATTGTCCGGTCGGCATGTCGAAGTAACTGCTGTACATCAATAAGTAGTCGTCTCTGTAGATAGACCTACCTATAAATAAATGTGCATTGTGCAGAAACGGCCACAATCTGTACATTAAATATAGTACGTACGTCCGCCGGCGTCTCTGTGTGTCTCCCAAACAAATACGTAAGCTGTAGACAGTAACGGTGCCGTAGGCCGGGCCTCACAATCACATCGCTACATACTCAAGTTGCTTTAATTTATTTATTTTCTTTAGGCTCTATGCACAAACACACACATATATAGGTTAACAAAATATAACGCACCCATTTCAGGAGCGTTTTGAACAGCCTGTTGATTGCCCTAGATGTTTTCATATATTTCACATGTCATTCTTTGAACAGGTACTTCACAGCTACTTTTATTTGAAAAACGTTTATACTATAATTTGAAAGCAGATTCGAAAATTTAATTTAAAATCGAAGTCCCTTGTGAATGTCATATTGCGAAGTGAGCAATTTAATACGTACAGTAGAAGCCGGGTGCCCGAAGCTCGCTCTGTTCACTAAAAGCAGAGCACCAGGTCCCTAAAGCCATTTTGCGATGACTAAAACTATTTTTTAAAGTGACGTGAACTGATGTAATATTACACGTTCCTAACAATATTCACTTTTTGAGAACTAGAACAGATTATTAATTTATCATCTCATCATAATCATCATCAAATAGGTTTCCTGAAGTTTAATCATTAATATAAGGACTATTTAGTTATGACAATTAGTCTGTCCGTGCAATGTACCGTCACAATTAACAAATGTTATGTTATAGGCCGTTTACACGCATGGCGAGCCTCGACAAGTATCCACGAGCACAAGCGTGTAAACGGGGTGTTCGGCTCGGCTCGCGTAGGCTCGTCGTCGATCGGGACTAGTGTCGGTTTTTCAACACAGATCAAAGGATGCTCGCGCTAGTGTTTGCGACGTATTTACACGTTGGCGCGTGTTCAGTGTCGCTCACGAGGACACGAGCTCGCGCTGAGCGGGTGTGATTTACGTTGCGCTGAATACGACCGCATCGACCATGACTACTCATTGGTCAAATGACGTTTAATTTTTTTTTGTCTGTTTGTTTCGGGTAATCTTCCAAACGCCTGGACCGATTTTAATAATATTTTAATACCAGGTAGCTGTCTATATAAGGAGTAACTTAGGCTATCCTATTCCTCTCAGAAAACCCCTTTTAAATTTTGCCCGGTCCGGGATTCGCACCCACTAAGGCAGCGCTTATTACTTTTTTTTCCAAAATTTAGACAACTTTTTAGTGGGTAAAAAATTCAATTCCCGAGAGGCAGTACAAAATGCCTTTGAAGAGTTTGTTGCCTCCCGTCCAGCTGATTTTTACAAGAAGGGCATCAATAAACTGCCAATGCGTTGGCAAAGATGCGTCGATTGCATGGGTGATTACTTCGAAAAACAGAAATAAAAAAGTTTGAAAAAATAAGTACTTTCACTTATTGCATACAAAACGGCAATTTCATAGGTAAAGACCTAATATTACAGACACTCCAATTTTATTTATTTGTATAGATGAGCACAGTCGCCGAACTATTCTTTGAACCTATAATATGAAATCACTTATACGATCTATAAAATTGATGACCCCAAACTATACGTTGGACATCTATATATATATATATATATATATGAATAAGTAACCCTGACTGCTAAGCCAGAGGTCGTGGGTTCCATTCCCACTCAGGGCAAATAATTGCGTAAGCAGTAAAGAATATAAATATATATATACCATCTCCTTTGCAGAATTTTTCTTCTTTTTTGTTTATATTTTAAATAAAAATATGTCAAACCAAACGTAAAAGCCGACACGACTTCAACGTCCACGTCTGCCATGTTTGCCTGTCCGAAACACACTGACCACTCATCATCATCATCAACAGCCTTTAATAGTCCACTGCTGGACATAAGCCTGTCCTTAGAAAGCAAACTGACCACTCGCAAGCGTGTAAATGACATCCAAGCGTTTGTGAAGGCTTGGAACTGTGAACGTTTGCCGAGCCTCGGCACGCATGTAAATGAGGCATTAAGGATCTTCGTGTGAAATGTTCTATACGTAAAAACACACGTACAAACTAATTACGTATCGATGGACAGGCCCTTTCCATCCACACGCTAAGTGGGCACATTGGGAGTTAGAGGAGAAAATTAAGTACTTAATAGCTCAAACAACTCAACGTATGCGACATTCAACGCGAACTGGCTGTCGATGGAAAGTCCGAGCCGTCTAAACTAAACGTCGAAACTAACTACACTGAAAGTAACTACGATATGTTTACTGATATAATGCATTTACCGAAGGTTTTTGTTTGACTCTGATCGCATTTGGTTTATTCCTCTCTACATGCAGGTGAAACAAGCTTTGCCGCAGCGTCGTATGTGTGAGCTGGTGCCGCGAGAGGTGTGCGTGATGTGTCCGCGGCGCAAGCGCGCGTGCGGCGCGTGGCGCGGCGCCGTGTGCGCGGCGCTGCTGCTGCTGCTGCTTGCCGACCTTGCCACTGCAGACCTTGAAAAGAGAACAGACAGTACGTGTGGGACCCTTGGCTCTATCACATCTTATTGAACACTTGTAGCGACCCCGGGGTCGTTACAAGTCATTACCTTAAAGAATATTTATATTATATGATTCATTAATTAAAGAAAAACTGTTAGCAATATAACTATTGCAGGTTTAACTTTGAATATCGCCGTCCACTGCTGAATGAAGGAGTCTGCTGAACGAACCAATCGTTATTTCAAATGCTACATGCTGATACCTGTGTACTCCTCAGTTAGCGAACACTTTCGAAACTAATTATAATAATAATATAATAATAAAAACCTCACACATCACACACACGGCTGTCTGATTCCAAACTAGGCAGAGCCTGTACTATGGTAACCCGACCGCTGATAAACATACTTATATTTTTCGAAATACATAGATATTATAGATAAATTACACCCAGATACAGAACAAACGATCGTGCTAACACAAATATTTGTCCTGGGTGGGAATCGAACCCACAGGCCCGTCTATTTTAATTAAGTACATAAGTATATGAATATTCGAAACATTTACAGACATTTTACTGTTTAACCAAAACACCACCTCAAAGCATACTCTATAACCTCTGTTTGGGCGGTGGACAGTTATTACTAAATTTGTTACATTGTGGTCCAGTGTCCTCGATGCCGTTCGTGATGGGCTCCCGCTACGGACGCAGCTCGCCACCGAAACTTATCGCACCGCGGAATGACAGGTGATGCTCACTCATCCTCTTCACTAATTACCATTTCTTTTCATATATCAATTTTCAGAAAAAGAAATTTAACCCTTTTTGAGTTTCTGAGATTAATAAACCATTAGAGTGTATCGATATTAAAATATTTTAAATAATATGTGTGTTAAAATACTAAACTTGGCTGGATAGATTGAACCCAAACTTGTTCCCTAAGTAATGTAATTGGTAATGTAGGTTCTTCATGGGTAGCCGATATGGTAAGCGCTCAGAAGGCACCGTTGGAGGAGGCAACAGCGTGGGCGCGACGCTGGCGTCCGGAGGGGGGTTGCTGTGCGAGTACACCGGTGTGTTCCCTCTGTACCGCTGCGTCAGGCACAACAAGAGAGATCATTACGACGCGTGCGTGACCTTTTTTCTATGTTTTATAGTACCTACCTCCGATCAGACAAAGGAGACCCTCTCAGTAGATGGGAAGTAAACATCAAAGTATTCATTAACACATCCCTGGTGTTCAAAGTATATTTAAATAGTTTACTAAAGGACAATGGCAGGTCCCCATACATAATTTTATTTGAACTGAAATGGTAGCGTTTAAATATCAAAAATGCCTTAAACACTTAAGAATTTATTCTTGACCATTTTCATAACAAAATTACTAGGGAAAGTAGTCTAAAAAAAGATATTGTATTTTGAATGTTTCGATGTTAAGTACTAACATATTGTCAATGTTTTGTTTGAAACTACATGGCGTTGTGTGTCAAATAACCGAAAACACTATTCTCATTATTATTACTCATAAACAACCCTATTTTGTTGTTGAAAGTGTTAGCCGACTCTCTAAAAGGGTGCAGGTTATTTTACCAATACATGGTTAAAACAATAGAAAAAATCTTCGCTCACCAAGCAGGTGTACCTAATACTAGCGATAAATAAATAAATTAAAAATAATAATGCGAATAATTGTACTTCAATACACATTTACACAAGGCAGAAGCAATTTATTTATTTATTTAGTTTTAAGGCGTCACATCGTGCCTAACAGACTATACGATATTAAAATTAGAAAAACATAACATATTTTTTTATAATTTAGTGTTTATTTTAGTTTTATTTTTGTATAATTTAGTGTTAAACACTAAAGTTTAGTTTTAGTTTAACACTAAATTAAACAAAGTAAAACAACAAAGAATTGCCGTGTCCATTGCTTGTCATGAAATCATGCGTGTGAGTGTCAAACGACACGACTGATGCGGCACGCGACAGGATCCAAACGGCGACGTATCGACATTTAGAAAATATCGATGTATGTCTATTTATGAGCCGTTTTCAACGACAATGTCTTTCTCTCATCACACTGTGCAGTATATTGTTATACTGCAAACATTGTTAAAATAACGTAACTATATTCTATTAATTTAGTGTAGAAAAAATCGTTTAAAAAGGGTAAAAATGTTCTAAATTGTTTCTAATTATGTTGATTTAGTTACTCTACCGTGCGAGTGAACTCATGGGCAGAAGAATGCATAATCATAAAAGGTGAACCTTCGGTAGATATTTTAGTCAAAGCTATAAAAATCGATTATCGATAAAACGTTTGATAACATAATAATGCCATCACGCATCCCTAGTCGGTAATACGTGATGGCGAATCTGACATTACGTACTTAGTCAAATAAAATCTTTAAAAATATCCGATCTCTTATAAGACTTATACAGCACATGGTGGCGTAATGATAAATCATAGAAAAAATATTTATTAAGTTAACGGTGAGTAAATTTTTTAAACGCTTGAGTTTTAGGTAAATATGTTTCTGCCATTGTTCTTTTAGTCTAATAAATAATAAAGTGCTTAAAACCTGCAACAATTTTAAAGTAACATGCTCTCCTGAGCAGGTATATAAGAGTTGAGGAGAAGACTAAGTTCTATAGCGAAGTGCGTTCTGTGCAGGAGGAGCGCAGACGAGGCGGGGATGGCCGAGGAGGAATAAGCTGGTGCCCACTGTAAACAGACTGTCGACCGCCCGCAATACATCTTATCGCACGCGCTGCCAACTGAACATCTTCGCTGGACCAAACAACACATGCATTAATGAAATCTAATATAACACTAGTTAAAGTCAGGTTTTTGTTACAAGCTGTTACTGAGTACATCGGCACTTGCTCCGTGAGCCGAGAGAACGTGAGAGCCGAGTGTTTGTAGCTCACTGTGCGGTCGGCGACGCGTTCGATGCGTAATATATATCTAAATAACTGTAAGTTTACGTACATATGTAGTAATAGGTTTAAGCGCCAGTCGCGCGGCGCCATGGCTGGGAGCGCCACGCGACTGGCGCGGCGCGACGCAACACGCACCACGTCACAAACATCACTAATTATGTTTATATCCTACCAACCCTCGTATTTAACGATACCGACCTTTCATTGCACAAATCGGTTCAATTTCTTTTAATAGCACATTAAATTCATCGGCAGTTCTATTTATAACTCACTTGTAATTAGCTTTGGAATTACAACTTGTGGAATTCACGTACTACTACAAATAGATTGGTGGCTAAAGTTTTTGGCGGCATTTTCTATGTTCCCTTGTAAAACTACAACTTTTGATATAACAAGAAGATACTATAAAATACATAGACTTGCCGATTTTCTAGCGGTGCCTCAATCGCGGTGTCTACAACAGTTTATACACAAAAGGTACTTGAACAACATTCAATAACAATCCAAGTTTCAATTTAAGGGTCATGCCGTATGCAACGTCGCTAACTTAAGCCGTAGAATAACAATTACGTAACGTCCAAGTTCATGGCATTTATCTTAATTCCGGGCCACTCATATTCAAATGAGTTGGTCTTAAGACAACAATTGTGTCTAGTTATTATTAACGCACAACAAAACACACGTTGATGTGCAGATCCCGAAGGAAGCGATGTCTTGTGTTCATAAGTTAGCTTTCATGTTCTATTTGAATATGTGAATAACTTTTTTTGTAAGACATTGTATTAGGTTATAGTTAGTTATATGACAACAAGAAGAGGATAAAGTGCAGGTAGTACTTTGTTCTGCCGCTATAGTACTGCCCCTATAGTACTACCCCTATAGTACTGCCCCTATAGTACTGCCCCTATAGTACTGCCCCTATAGTACTGCCCCTATAGTACTGCCCCTATAGTACTGCCCCGTGTCTGTGTGGAGAGCGTCGCGTCGTTGTTAGCTCCAGTGTAAGTGAGCACGCCACGAACGTCGATTCACGACTGTTAAATAAAAGTGAAAATAAACATGTCACGTTATGAACATGTGTTTCATTAATATTTGTTTTACCTTTTCTGATTTATAGAGAGAACGAAGTACATAGTAAATACTTGGCTAATAAGAAGGATGTGTCTGGTTCATTTCTGACTGCAAAATAATTAATTTGTATTTATTTAAACATGAGTACAATGAAGATCTTATGAGGTTTGTAGCAGTTCAACATGTTATACCATGTCATTGCAATGCATATATCGACTTATTAGTTTTATATCTAAGTAAATGTAATTAGTAAGTAAAGTAATTTTAATTAAAACATTCCAAAAGAAAATTGCTCATGCACAAGAAGGATTTTTAAGAAAAACTAGTATATTTTTTTAAATTTTGTCACGAGAGATTCCTTATTGGCTTTGAGATGTGATCATGCATACTTATAGATAGATATTTCTATACTGAACACCAATAGTAACAACACTAGGAACGTAGACTCACCGTTACAACAATTTTACAATGGGTGGTCTTATCGTACATAGCGATCTCTATCAGACAATCTTGGAATAGAGAAATACACTATATACAGGGTCTTTCTTCAGTAATTGATAACCCGTTAATCTGAAGTAGCCCTCTTACCAGGCTATAAGATGATAACATTTTCAAGTCAGGGTTGCCAACTGTGTGAAAATGGTGACCACCGTTGTATTTTTTTATAAGTTTTGCTACTTTACCCATTCATTCTGATGCCATTGCAACAAATTAAAGTGTTTCTAGCTAGTTTTTTTGTATCGTACTCCTTTAGACTTGTATTATTTTATTTAGTTACTATTGTAGGCATCATTAAGTGGTAACACTTTAAAATTGTCATTTCAAGCATTTTTTGTATTATTTTTTTCGTTACGTGGAGTTTTAACCTGACTGACTAACTGACTGTGAAAAAAAGTACTGTGCCATAGTTGCTCATTATCTTTAAAATACTCGTATGTTTAGTTCGTGTAGATTCTAAAAAGGTAACTTTTAGGCCGACCCTTTTTATTGAACATTTTGATTGAACCAAAAACTAATACTATCATAATTATGAAAGAAAATACGGACTGAGATTATTGGTGTACAAATTATAGACCTATTGGAGTTGCTACAACTTATGGATATTTTTTTTTTTGGTAAAAAGTGCTTCTTCTACAGAGTTCCATTTCAATATCTCGTTGTCTCTTAAGCACTGGGCAAACAAATGCGAAATATTTCTAATGAACATACACGTGTTGTAACAATATATAGCGATACCAAAGTCAAAGCCGTCCTTCGACACTTGCAGCTCAAGAGGTTCTGAGGGGCGCCGGTAGAAAGCAACGAAACAATTGCTCGTAATCATAAATCACTTACAGGGTCCGTTCCTTCCACTAACTGTCCGAGGTGTCGTGTCGGTATCGGCTTCGCTCACTAATCCGTTAAAACATTTTTTAATTTACTAAAAAAATGTTGTTTATATAATCGCGTAGACTACGTATTAATGCATAGCAATTCGTAGATATTCGTAGTACATCGTAGCATATTATTTCTGAATAAAAAATGTTTGAAACTTTGGTAGGATATTAGAAAATGGGAGGCGTGTATTCTGGTATATCTTTTTGCAGTGTCTGAGAATCACTAAAAAAGACCAGGTGCAGTGCAACCTGGATCCAACGTCAGGTAATTGAAAAGTATACAATAATATTTATTGTTCACATTTATTCCTTTGTTAATATTGATATAAAACTTTGCAAATAGACTTTTACAACTATTTATAAAAGTAGAGTTATTATATAATAAAAATACAGTAAACAGCAGCCCTAGCTTTTACAGCAGATACTGTTTCTTCCTTTTAAATAAAATATCTTCTTCTTTTGAATCCGGTTTGCTATAAAATGGTTTTTTATTGGAAGAGAGGACAAACGAGCAGACGAGTCACCTGATAGACAGTGACCGCGGACGATACCGCACTGGTGGAGTGCCAAGCATCCAAGTGACGGGGTTGAACATTGACGCCAGTAACGCCAAGGAATGGAGCAGATCGAAGATGTTTTGGTTATCGACGATTCGAGTATTTTAAGCATATCTTATTATTAGTTTTAGTTAGGATTAGGTGACCGCAGGAATATTACATAACACAAAGAACAAAATAAGTAGCGAGTTATTCTAAAAGAATCAAATGCAATTCATTTATATTTCGGATTCTTATTATTATTCAAGTGGCCAAATGCGATGCCATATGTTTATTCTCTCATCCGTATTTAAAAGATTGCTTAAAAGAGTTGTTTAATTGAGTGTTTAAATTTATTAAATCTTTTAAAAAACGAAACACAACATAAAGCTGTGGTGTATGATCAAACTGAATTAGCCCGTTCTGTTGACGAAGCCATATGTTTGTAGCTTTAAATTGTTAGAGCGGAGTCGACCTGGCCTGCCAGAAGCCACTTATCGCTGAAACGCACCAGCTTCTCGCCAGAGGCCTGTGAGGTGCTGTTTGTCACTTAAATGTTGTGACTTTCCGTCGCGCTCGAGTGACGCAGAGCGGAGTGGAGTGGTCCACAAACAGCAAGTGTCGCTCTCAGCACAAACAATATGAACAAACGACCCACTATTATCAGAAGTACTCGCGCCTGGACGCAGTTACACCAATCAGTAACATGTGGAATATAAACACGATGTAAAGGCTTCGAAGGTAATTGTCTCACGCGAGCGTCGCAGTTATGAACGTGTGGTAGTTCTAATTTAAAAAAAGTTAAATAATCGGAAATGAAATACGTTTGAAATTATGCGTCGGTCCTATAAGACTCACTGTGAGCGTCGTACCTCTGAATGGGAGTGTTACGACAATTAAGTTAAGAATGACTTTCACTACAATTCCCATCTATTGATATTTATTCAAATGCTGGCTTTAAGCATAATTTATGTATATAAGGTGTATAGTAAATTGTGTAATCGTCATTAGATTAAAATAAGGATATAAAAAGTAAAAAAATCGAAGTTTCGCTTAGGCAGAAAAGGTTATGTCATACAATAAATGTATTTTCTTCTAAATTCTGTTTATAACTAAATTTAAAAACTGTTCTTTTTTTTAAAGTGTTTACTTAAATAACAAGAAAGAAAAGAAATTAGCAGTATAATTTAAAACCAAATAAATCTCAATACTGATATTATACAACACGTTACGCAATAAACATTTTTTTTTTCAATTTTCAACAATTTTCATAGAAGTAAAGTAGCTTTTATTAGTTCTGAGTATTTTATGTACGTTACGTACGTTTAAAGTACATCATTCTAAGATATAATTGATCGGTTTTTATTAGAGTGCACCGGGCGGCTCGGCGGCAGAGCACGACACAACCAAACAGCTAATGGTAGGATTAAAGAAAAAGCTGTTCGAAGACGATAATCCTTAAAAAAATGTCATTAGGCAAATTAAAATTAATTAAATTAAATTATTAAATTAAATTAAGTTTCAGCAGGTTACTTTTATGCGTAACAATTTCGGTGTGAGCTGCTGCCCTTCCGCCGTGGGCTGCCCCGGGTCGATCTTGTTGTTGCGTAAAACAATTATAGCTTTATTTTGATTGTGCTCCTCCCGCACCCCTCGCCCCTACTGCCGCCTACTCTAGTAGACTTTTATTATTTATAAATGAAGTCTCGGTAAACTGAAGACGGACAAAGTAAGTACACATATTCTGTCCTATCCTATCATATCCTATGCTATCTGTCCTGTCATAGC